TTTTTGGGTCCGGTTGTGGGGCCTGAACTCTGGGCCTGGGTGCTGGGTGCTGTCCCTCAGCTCTTCAGCTCAAGGCCAGCGCTCTACCACTTGAGCAACAGCACCATTTCCGGCTTTTTTCTTTTTGCTTATGTGGTGCTGAGGAATCGAACCCAGGACCTCATGCATTGCAAGGCAAGCTCTCTACCATTGAGCCACCTTCCCAGCCCCCTTTTTAGTTTTCTTACTGTTAGGTAAGTATGGGAACTAAGAGTACTTACAGTTTGAATTTTTTTCTTTAAAAATTTAAAAAAGTTGTTATTATAAAAGTGATGTAGGGAGAGGTTACAGTTAACATTTCTTTTTGGACAGTGTTACCCCTTCCCTTGCTTTCTCCTAGTGTTTTCCTCCTGATTTTGAATTTTTTATGATTTGATTTTTTCAGGATTACTTTTCTTTTGAAGTTTATAACTTAACTATAGATTTTTCAAAAAAATACTTAGAGTTATATACATATATTTTTTTGGCTTGAACTCTGGGCTTGGGCTCTATCCCTGCTCTCTTCAGCTCAAGGCGAGCGCTCTACCGCTTGAGCCACAGCACCATTTCCAGTTTTCTGGTGGTTAATTGGAGATAAGAGTCTCATGGGTTTTTCTTCCCGGGCTGGCTTTGAACCATGATCCCCAGATCTCAGCCTCCTGAGTAGTTAGGATTACAGGAGTGAGCCACAGGCCCCCAGCCTTGGAGTTATATTTTTATCCAGCAAGATAGTCACATTCTAGTTACCATGAGTGAATTTCCACTTGTATAAATGTTCTTCATTTTGCAGTGAAAGATACTCTCAGGGAATGCATCTATCAAGAATGGCTCAAATAGTTCTTAAGTACTCTTGAAATAAACTTCAAGAGAAAACAGACTTGTGGTAGAAATTTCATTTCTATTTTAGACTTTAGTTATAGTCATTTGAAACTCTTGTGCCTAGTATATTATTCCTAGCTTGATAAATTTTGATGCTGAGGAAGCTTATGTTGAAGAGAAAATCAAAATATATCATCAATTTCTAAATCTGGAACATGATGCTCCTCTCTGAGGCTTATTCATGACTTGTGGTGGTAAAAAAAAATCAGAGAAGAGGGTTCCACTGGTCAGCAGTGGCAGACTGTGTTTCCACATCTTATACCAACAATGAGGGGAAAACACACACACACACACACACACACACACACACACACACACACACACACACACACACACACGAACCACCTGCCAAAATTATATATACACAGTTTATCAAGTAGCTATACATGATTGATATCTGAAAAGCACAGCTTTGGAGCTCTTACTTGGGGGCATCAGGAAATCCCAGTACCTTTCACAGTACCTTATATGGAGTGACTGTTCTATAAAGTATACAGTATATAGCACTTCGGCATTTTCTGTAGTGTAATTTTTATAAGGTAGTTAGGTAATTTTTTTTAGATGAGAAAGCAGATACAGGGGCTGGGAAGATGGCTCAGTGGTAGAGTGCTTGCCTTGCATGCCTGAGGCCCTGGTTTCGATTCCTCAGCACCACATAAGCAAAAAGAAAAAAGCCGGAGGTGGCTCTGTGGCTCAAGTGGTAGAGCGCTAGCCTTGAGCTGAAGAGCTGAGGGACAGTGCCCAGGCCCAGAGTACAGGCCCCACAACCGGACCCCTCCTTCCCCCCCCAAAAAAAAAGAGAAAGCAGATACAAAGAGACTGAGACCTTACTCAAGGGTGGTGAGTACTAGAGCCTGAGTCTCAAATCTAGATTTTGTTTAGCTTTTTCATATGTTCAGTGCATTTAGAGGAAGGTAGGGTTTAGAAAGAGGGATTCATTCTATCATAAATTCTTCATGAATGTGGGTAACAGATAATAAAAAATGGTATCCATGGTGGTAGTACTGGGTCCTGATCTTAGCTCTGCTGCTTGTGGTTTGCATGATTTTAGATAAGCCCATGGGGCTTTCCTCTGCCTTCATTCCTCTTCTGTGAAATGGATGTAGAAATAGTGGTACTGTACTCAAAGGACTGGTACAGGAGTAAATCAAAGGAGTTAATGTTGTGAACTTCTCAGAGCAGTGGCCGTGTAGCATATAGTACTTATCATGGAAGGTTGACTAGATTGGAAGAATATGGGTGATTATCACAAGCTAATGGGCCTTAGAAAGTTATAAATCTGTATCACTTAAGCTTCTGATGGTAAGAAGTTGAGCATGACGGAAGTTGTTTGTTTTTGCTTACTTGCTTCAGTCTTTTGCTAGTTACTGAAACCCTACCAGACCTCAACTTTTTCAGCTACATTTATTGTCCTCTTCTGGAGCCACTCTCTACCTGTCCTTGTTAAAACTCTTTTCTAAAATTCGGTTTTCCCAGAACTCAGTAATGATGAATTACTTAAGTCTTCTTCCTAATAGCCTGCTATAACTTATACTTTCTCCCCTGCAAAGCACATAGCCCAAGTGTGTGAACCCTGAGAATTCAGATTATATTTACAGCCTACAAATTTTCATAGTTCTTACCCGCCCCCCCCCCACACTTATTTAGTTTTTGTAGGTTGTGGGGCTTGAACTACACACACATATTTATATACACACATGATTAATCCTACCTACTCAGGAGGCTGAGATCTGAGGATTGCAGTTCAAAGCTGGCCCAGGGAGGAAACTCCCTGAAACTCTTATCTCCAATTAACTGCCAAAACAGCTGGAACTGGGGCTGTGACTCAAAGTGTTAGAGCACTAGCCTAGTGCCCAGGTCCTGAGCTTAAGCCCTAGGACTAGCACAAAAACAGATTATCCTAATCAAACTCAAGTTACTTCCATTTACCTCTTTTTCCCCTTCCTAGCACAGTTTTCACAAGTTTCATTGTTCTATTTTCATATGTGTAAATAAACTACTTTGACCATATACATCTTCATTTACCCTTTCCTGTAGCTCTCTTCCTTCCTAGTTCCTGAGTAGAGCCTGTTTTACTTTCTTGTCATTCATTTTCTTTTTTTTAAGTATGTATTAATAGTACCAGGAGGTTTCACCTTGGTATGTCAGACATGCATATATTATAATTTGAATAACCTTCTCTATTGGGTTCTTTTTCCTCACACCCGCCAAGCCCCATATTGATTTACAGCTTTTATTGAAGTTGCTTATGTCATCTTCATACATACATACATATTTTGACATTATTCACCCTCTATCTTTCTTTCCCTTTCCTTTTTCCCTCATTCACAGGGGTAGGGAACCTTTTCTCTGTTAAGGGTATTTTTTTTTTTTTTTTGCTAACATTATTATGAGCCACCTGCCAAAATTATCAATATAGGCCATGGGCAGATGATGACATACATTATGTACCAAATAATTCTTTCAGCCTTATATAGTCCATGGGCTGGAGGTTCTCCCACCCCTGCCACAGTCCCATAGTTGCAGTCATGTTCTGTGTATGTGTGTAGACATGCATATTTATGAATATGTATGTTTTTTAGGTCTACTTTCCACAGATGAGTAAAGTCATATGATAAGTGGCTTTTGAACTTGGCTTGTCTGACTCAATGTGCCCTTCTCCAGTTTCACCCATTTTTCTTCAAATGACATGATTTCAGTTTTCTTTATGGTTGTATAATATTTCATGGTGTGTGTGTGTGTGTTATCCACTCATCTGGTGTTAGACACCTTGGCTGATTTTACAGTTTGGCTCTTGTGAAGGGTGTTGCAGTGTTTCAGTAAGCTTGTATACAATATACTTGTATTTAAGTTCCTTCTTTGGATATTGATTTATACTCCTTCACATTTATGCCCAATAGTGTTATGGCTGGTTTTTTGTATTTAAAGACCATACTATGTACTTTACGAGAATTATCTCAAGTCCTTAAACTTCTAAGCCCGTGCAGGGGTAGGAAGTCTTTATTTCTGCCATTTGGATATATATAACATTTGTGGGCCATACAAAATGATCAATACAGGCAGATGGCTGTAAGGCAGCTGAAGAGAAATATGTATGTCTGTCCTGCCATGTACTGAATGATTTTGTGCTCCTTGTATGGCCTGCAGACTGGATGTTCCTCACGGGGCCCAGGCTAGGGGATAGGCATTGTCCTATTAAGAAATAAAGTTGAGAGAGAAACTTCGCCAAGGGACCTACCTGGTTAAAGATGGAGTCATGGTTATGGTTAAACTGTGATTCCTTAACACGCAGCATCTTGACTTTCCATGGAGAGTTGGTTTGAGAATGAAAGTACCTAAGGGACACACTTTCTGGAGCTGTGAAGTGTGAAGACTTCAAAGTCCCAGGTGCAATTGGTACTTCTTAAATTTCATATTGGAGAGGGAAAGGTTTAATAATGTTGTACTGATTTTGACTTTCCATTAAAAAAGTCAGAAGTGCAGTAAAATATATTTTCTTTTAAATATTATCTTTTTAAAAAAAGTAGTTGAATTGATTTAGCATATATGTGTATGACCTAACAGCCATGCTGCATTGAAACCTGTCTCTCTGTTGTTTTTTCAGATACTTGTTTTGCTTTTTTATATTGTGCTCAGTCCAGATGGCAGGCACAGGTCATCCTACAAGCTATTTTTGTCCAGTAGATAGTAAATTCAAGCTAGTAATATGAACTCAACAGAGTTCTTTTGCATTTCCTGGTACATACTTTTCTTAATATTATTAGCTTTTTCTTTATAACATGTAGTCCTGGCACATTGTGATTTTGACAGTGGCATTACATTTAGGCTCTATATGGTATGTTAAACCCCATCAGCATTTCCAAATCTTCTATTTCTATAGACATGGCTATACCCTTTAAAATTAAATGCAGATAACAGAATCAATTAGGATGCTAGAATTATATCTTTTTCTTTAAATGAATAATAATTTTGTAAGTAACCATTAATTTTGTTTTTCTGTTTTTAACTGAAGTACCAGAAGAAAACATTGCAACTATGAAGTATGGAGCCCAGGTTGTAAAAGGGGAGCTGAAGTCTGCCTTGCTCGATGGTGATACTCAAAATTATGATTTGGATCATGGGTTTTCTAGGCACCCAATTGATGATGACTGCCGTTCAGGCATTGAGATAAAGCTAGGTCAGCCATCCATCATCAACCACATACGGATACTCCTGTGGGACCGAGACAGCAGGTGAGTCATTTATGTGACATAAAGAGAAACTTAGCTGACTTCATGGTCAGCCACTTTGGTTTTACAGATTTCAGTTTATTTCTTTATGATCATTTTAATATTTCTCTTGAAGTTCTGTGGGAAGAGTTAAGGTTATATTCCTTTTAAAAACAGTTTTTAAAACTTTATAAAACTGAATATGTATTTGTTGTGGAAAGCATAGAAAATATGGAAAAGCATATCAAAATTGTTAGTAATATCAACTATTTTTGTTAAAATTTGGATCTACTTAGCGTTTTTGTTGTTGTTGTTGTTGTTGGTTGTAGGGTTTGACTCAGGGGACCTGGGTGCTGTCCCTGAGCCAGCTTGTGCTTAAGGTGAGCGCTCTACTACAGTGCCACTTCTGGTTTTTGAGTGGTTAATTGGAGATAAGGGTCTGACAGGGATTTTTCAGCCTGGCTGGCTTTGCACTGCTGTCCTCAGATCTCAGCCTCCTGAGTAATTAGGCATGAGCCACTGGTGCTCATCTCTACCTAGCATTTTTTAACTTCTACCTGTCTGTGGCTTTCAAAGTAAAGATTACATACCAAAAGCTGATCTCATCTTTTTTCCCTCTCCGCCCCACTCCCCATTTTTTTGTACTGGTCCTGGGGTTGAAGTCAGTGGTGCTTTCCTTGAGCTTTCTTGCTAAAGGCTAATGCTTTACTACTTGAGCCACTTTTCCACTTCTGGCTTTTTGTTGATTAAGTAGAGCTAAGTGTCTCATGGACTTTCCTGCCCAGGCTGACTTTGAATCTCTATCCTCAGATCTCTCAGCCTCCTTAGTAGCTAGGATTACAGGCATGAGCCACTGGTACCCAGCTTCAGTAGCTTTCTTTGTTTTTTTTTTTTTTTTTTT